CATTGGTTATACACATTATCCAACGATCCACAATCTTTGAAACAAACACAAAATAGTACAAAGAAACACAAAAAAAATTCTATATATACACATATCTATCTCTTTCATTTCCATCCATTTATCTATTTTCAATCACTAAACATTTTTATTTATTTATTCTTCCACAAAATATTAATGATTTTTTGAAAAATATACCTCTTTTTTTTTATTTTAAATATACATGTTTGATTAAACAAATTTACTGAATGATAATTGTTACATATACATATATTTACGATTTTTATGAGTTTTGAATTGATTAAAGATACCAAACAAACATTCATTCACAGGTTATGACTTATGAGTCTGATGTTTACATTGTAACTAAATATATAAACACAACAACATAAACAAATTGTGTTGGCTCTTGAATTGATTAAAGACACCAACTAAAATATCTCATCACTTCACTAGAGAGTAAAGTTGGTGGTTCTTGTTTGTTTGGAAAAGTTATTAAGTAGTTTTCACTGCTTCCATTTGTTGCTCTCATGTCTTTATTCCAATTATTAAACACATTTTCTTTAGTTAACTGGTTTAATTGTGTTTAACTAAAAAAATAGTTTTACAATCACTGCGTTTGTTGAATTTTGAATGTTGAACTCAAATTACACTCAATTGTCAACACTTCAATAATTTGGTAAAATATATTTTAGGCTAATTTTTGTTTCTTGAAATATTTATATTAATATTAATTGAGGTTATCAGTGCTAAATTTTAATTCATTAATTGGCTTTTAGCACAAATAATGGCCAATTATCGAATATGCAAGTATTGTATATTTACATACTTGTGACATTTGACAATCCATAAGCTAGAAAAATCTCTTCACAAAGTCCCCTCGTCTTTATAATGCTTGAGCTAACATATTGTCGTTTCGTATCATTACTTGCTTGTGACTTTTTTCCTAAATAGCAAAATATATTTTCATATTGAAAAAGAAGAAAAAGAAGAAATTGAATCAAAAATGGCCGAAGTCAGTTTTGTACCTGGGATTCAGCCAATAAAAAATAGACAAATAAAAGCGTGATCTGAGTAGGCAGAATTAAATAGTGCATGTAGGGTAAACGAGGACTCTAATCAGCTTTGAGCTGTCGAGTAAGGAGTGAGGGACCTTTGGAAACCCAAGAAAAGCGGGGGAGTACTCTCTACAGTGCGTTCTATTATTATCCCTCATTCCCGTGGGAGTGGTCGTAATTAAGCATCGTGTCAATATACCCGAAACTAAAATGTATTTACCTTCAACAGCACATCACTATATACCAGCATTAGCCCTAATATCTCGTTAAGCCACCCACACCGAGATCGACAGTCAAAGGAAGAAGAAGATATTTCCGGTTACAACTCAAAACGACACTGTTTCACTAAATGAACCAAAACTGGGCCAATGATTCGTGTGATGACAAACAACAACCATTTATTATACACATGATTCAACGATCAACAATCTCTGAAACAAATACAAAATAGTACCAAGAAACACAAAACTTTCCTATATATACACTTATCCATCTC